AATATAGGGCATAAATCAAATGCCTGTCCAGAAAGATAATATAGTCAATATTACTGTGTTGTGGTTGATAAATATGCCGGGTGGCTCGGGAATTACGTTATGGAAGCCTTGCGAAACAAGACTCAACGCCCTATTTGCAGGTTAAGCTTGTAGATTGCCAATAGTGACACACTTGATGCTTTGATATTCCTGCAATCCATACTTACTTCCTTCCCTGCCCATTCCACTCTCTTTACAACACCGAAGGGTGACTCGGCCGCGCTTATGAGGTTTGTTCACTCCAACCATACCGCACTTGAGCTTTCGCGCCACTCTCATAACGGTGAGCAGTCCTAATTTATGGGAAAAGAAGAGCTCTATTGACTTCTGACCCGTCACAGCTATGATGACTTCAACTGCATGAAGTCACAAAAGATTATTTTTGACGTGGGTAAATAGTATTTGCTATATGTGCAAATTCACTCCTCTTGCAGCTGTACGGAACGTCTTAGATAGATTCTTGCTTTATGCGACGAGCTATAAATACCTCCTGTATTCTAGTTCTCTATTAATTCATTGTCATTTCTTTTTATCGTACATCCATCACTTAGCCTTTGGAATCGTTCTTTCGTACACCCCGTCTTTTTCTTCTATGCAATTCACCCTGTTCCGGACTTGGATCCTGTCACAAGCTCCAAGCCATTCCTCTTGTTTCCACGAGCCCTTGTATATCATTAGGTTTGAAAGGAGTAAAGTCATTAATATTACATAAAGAGCTCTGGCCTCTTTCATCTACCACAAGTGTATGAAGTGTATGGTTCTTAGCATGAACAGGCTTCTGAACACTGAATGCCTGTATCACATCACACGATCCTTTCTTCATGCTCCACCCTTGCTTTTGTCTCCTCCTTGGCCTCCTGAGCAGCCTCCCGGTGGGTCATGCTACTGGAACTCGCATACTTGATGTCGAATAGCCGGTCCACTTCTTCCAGCGGACAGGCCCGCTGTCTCGACATAGAAATACCAGCAAATTGGCACCCAGACCAAGTTGGTAATGGCAAAAATCAGATAGTACTTCCATCCAATCTTCTCAATGCCTAAGAAGGTTCACCGGATGTTAGAATCCTGCAGAACCCGGATCAGAAAGACCATGCGCCACACATACCAACTGGAGTCACTGATACAATCACATACACACCGCACCAATTGACTGCCATTGCAATGGCACTTCCCAGGTTGCGCGTGCGGTGCGAATTGATTTCCGATGGATACATGAAGGGAATAGCAAGGAAGGACAACCCCTGGGATAGCAGATCGGGTTAGTAAGTAGTGTTAGCTAAAGGGGGTGAAGGGGAGACTCACAAAAAAGAAATAGTACAAGAAAATGAAGGCGACCGCAACGCCATTAAGAGCTTTGGTGTTGATCCCCAAGCCCAAAGCAGCCATGGCAAAACAGAGACATTGGCCTGCGGTGCCAAAGATCAACAATCGTCGACGACCGACCCGTTCAATCACAAGGGTCGCCATGCCCGCCCAAAACATCCATTGCATGGAATCCACCGCAGACAGGATCAAGGCCAACCGGTCGCTGAAGCCGAACGACCACTTCAACACAACGGGCAGGTAATAAGCGACGACATTGACCCCTCCGAACTGCTGCATAAAGTTGGCCCCGGCGCCCAGGAGAATCCGTCGGAAGGTCTGCTGCGGACCGTTGTGAAAGATCTCGCGCCAGCCTGCGCTTTGGATTTCCGCCTCATGGGATACGATGCTCTGGATTTCTTGCAGTTTTTGCAAGACCTCCTCCTCGTCGGGTGTTTTTTGCAGGAGGCGAGCTATCACCTCCTTGATCTCGGGAGCCGGGCAGCCCCAGAGATAAAGCCAGCGAGGCGATTCCACCGTTAAAGGTAGCCACACGGCGGTGGCAATAGCCAACACACATTGGAATGCAAGTGGAAAGCGCCAGCTGACTGACTGAGTCGGGATGTAGGTGAAGCCAAAATTGATCCAGTTGGCAAAGACGTGACCCAAGACCAGATGGGTGAGTTGGATGGCCCCGAGCTTACCGCGGTGCTCGGGTTTGCAGGTCTCACTCTGCCACATGGGGACAGTAGTTGTGTTGATACCGATGCCCAACCCGGCGACGATGCGTCCGACGATAAGGTGTGGGAGGGTATAGGAAGTCGCTTGGAGGATGCCACCAACGAGACAAAACAAACAGGCAAGAGCAATGGAGCGTCGTCGGCCAAGGACGTTACCGGTGAACATTGCAATGACCGCCCCGAAAATACAACCGAGGACATAAGTCGAGGTCATCTGTCCTTGGACTGTGGTATTAGGGTTGTTGAAGACGGCCAAGAAGGACTGATTGGACAGAATGCCGCCGAAAACGCCCTGGTCGTACCCAAAGAGCATGAACGCCATCCCGCAGGATATGGTGATTCCCACTGTGAGGTCTTTGCCCTGTGCTTGTGTTGAAAACATGATTGTAGGTTGGCGGAGGTTGCTCGAAACTGTACAGCAAAAGCAGACTACTCAATATGCAGACACCAACCGCGAGCAACGAAATAGGCCGGACAAAATCACCCCTTATATTTTGCCGCTGGTATGGATTTTCCTGCATAGGGGAAGTAACCGAAAGACAACAGTCCAGTCCGCCGAAGTTATGGGACATGCTTGCATAGAATGCGAACGTAGATCAACGAAATTATACTCGCCTGATAATCATATCTCGCATGTTTTGCGGGGCAGGGTCGGGATCCGTCTAGTGATGCACCTTCTGACATTATGGAAAGGCTACAACCGCATCGTGCCGCCTACACGCGACGTACCCCGTGGGGTCAACAATGTCTCAAACATAATTCGAGAGAGGATTGATGTGGGAAACTCCAAATCCAATGAATCTTCAATTGATCTTCACTTTGGAAAAGGAGCTTGACGACCGTGATGCATGATAGTGATTGATTGTCGGGCAAGTAGCCACGGCAACTCCACCATGTGGGACAGGAGCCAGGGAGTAATCACAATTTAACCCTAATTTATTCTTGCAGTTCTGGCATGTTGAACTTTCGAGGAGCGCTCTGGGTGAAACCGAAGAGTATCAACCTTGTTAAACCTTGCTAGCGGTGCATGGTCCCAGAGTTGAGCTGAGCCCCGCAGGCGTACTCTGTAGTCAAAAGCCCTTGAACCTAATTGATGCTGGACAACCGCGGTTAAATGGTCACTGTATGCGGGAATACTGAACCCCCCCCCCCCCCAAAACGCTGCTTCCCCATTGCACTAGATTGACGAATGACAGAAAGCTCGAATTGGTTAGTAGAGTGACGGACAGAAGACTCTTGCTTGCCAGGGAGTATGGTTTTAATCAGCCTGGCGAGGGTCATGGAGCAAGGACTGCCAGAGCTGGGGTACAGATTGCTAGTTAGTGGGAAATGAAAAAAGGACTTCCTCTACCATGTCGCTTGCACTCTTGATCTCCCACCACAGCATCTCCTATCTGAACTTATGGTAAAATGGCAGCCAGTCTTACTGCGATTGTGACCGGTTCAGCGCGCGGAATGTGAGCTACATCCTATCATATGTTCCAAAATCAACAAGACCCCAAGACACGACTAACACAAGATTCATATAACAGAGGAAGAGCAATTGCCCTCCGGCTCGCGCGAGATGGCTACTCAGTCTGTATCAACGACATACCCAGCTCCTCGACCGAAATCAACACTCTCGTCAACGAAATCAACGAGACGACTCTACCACTTCCCATCCCCACCAGAAACCCCATCAAACGACCCCGCGCAATTGGTATCGCCGCCGATGTAACCTCTTCTACAGCAGTCGCCGACATGGTCACCGAGACCGTCTCTCGCCTTGGCCCTCTCACCCTGATGGTCGCCAATGCCGGCGTCGCGACCGTCCAGCCCGCTCTCTTCGTTTCTGAAAAGGACATCGACAAGATCTTTGGTGTGAACTTTAAAGGCGCTTTCAATTGCTACTCACAGGCTGCTCGACAGATGATAGTGCAGGGGGACCCTGACATGTCCGCCGGTGTCAACCGGTACAAGATAGTTGGGTGTGCCTCTATCGCTGGATTCAAGGGCCTTCCGACGTTGGGGATCTACTCAGCAAGCAAGTTTGCCGTTAGAGGGCTCACGCAGTCTTTGGCGGGTGAAATGGCGAGACATAAGATTACGGTTAACGCTTATGCTCCGGGGATTGTGGGGACTGAAATGTGGGATGAGGTGGATGAGACAATGGGACAGCTCGAGGGGCGAGCAAAGGGAGAGAGTCTGAAGCTGTACAGCAAGGGAATTGCACTGGGCCGGACGGGGGTACCAGATGATGTGGCTGGCCTTGTTGGTGGGTTTCTCGCTAGCAAGGACTCGGATTATGTGACGGGGCAGACTATTCTGGTTGATGGGGGGATGCTTTTTACCTAGCTCGGTGTATTCTATTACTATGCTACCAAAGGCAGGATGCAAATCTTTGTTTGAGGAAGAACGGTTCAAAAAAAAAAAATAATAATAATAATAATAATAATAATGCTGTCTGAAGAAGACGAGCTGTGCCAGAAAAACTCCATAGTAGCACATCGCAATGCGGGGACCCCAGACTGGGAAGTTCAAAGTTTCACAGCAACATCCCGATTGGTGCCGCTCATCCTCCAGTAGAATTGACTGATTGATTGATATTAAATGTTGAGATATTACCTGTGCTCGGTTATATGCACCTTCGAAGAGGAGACATGATCTATAAATTCACGGGCTGGATTAGGAGACATTGGAGAATCAGACATACGTTTTGATACTCCAGCATCATGCAGGCTCTTCGTTTCCACAACCAACGTGATATTCGACTGGACAATGTGCCTAGGCCGTACGATCCCAAACCTGCCTTGAGCACACAGAGTCAGAACACCCAGGCTAAGCTCAGAGATAGGGAGTGTCGCCCACACGAAGTGCGAGTCAAAGTGGCATATTGCGGTATCTGCGGCTCTGACATCCATGAATACCTTGGAGGCCCTATCTTCGCCCCCAAGCCCGGGCACAGGCACCCTCAGACTGGAACATCTCTGCCTGTTGTCATGGGCCACGAGATGTCTGGCACTATTGCCGAGCTGGGCATAGAGGTTAAGAACCTGTCCGTTGGGCAAAAAGTGACTGTCATCCCCTTGGTGGCCGATTCACAGTATGGGACAAGTCCATGCGCCTCGTGCCTCGCCGGTCACCCCAACACAAGTAAGCAGGCGACGTTCTACGGATTCAGTGCCCCAGGAGGTGGGTTCGCCAATGAAATCACGGTTAATCAAGCGAACATTGTGCCCATCCCGGACAATGTATCGCTGGAAATCGCGGCCTTGAGCGAGCCCCTAGCTGTTGCGTGGCACATGGTGCGTACATCCGGGTTCGTCGCGGGTCAGAATGTCCTGGTCCTTGGCGCTGGTCCAATTGGGCTGGCGCTGCTCATGCTGTTGAAGGCGAAGGGAGCCGGAAAGGTCATTGTCAGCGAGATATTGCCCTTGAGAATCCATTACGCGGAGCAGCTGGGGGCGGACAAGGTAGTGAGCCCTTTGGCTGAAGACCCGGCTGCTCCTAATCCCGTGCTGGCAGCAGTGAGTGAGCTTACGGTGGAAGGGGTTGGTATTGCGTATGAAGCTTCTGGTCTTCAGGTCACCCTGGACACGGCCATTGCAGCGGTTATGCCGGGAGGGGTTGTCTTCAATGTCGCGGTGTGCGAGAAGCCCCTGCAGGTCAATATCAATGACTTTGTGATCATGGAGAAACGAATGGCCGGAGGGATCTCCTATACATTAGAGGACTTCCATGACGCAGCTTTCACAGGGAGAATGCTCCCGGATAGCATAAGCATCGGCTGCAAAGGTTGCCCAGAGAATGAAGAAGCTTGGTTGAGTGTTGCCATCTGAATTGCCCCGCGGTCTTTTGGGCTCGCGTTTTCGGGTGTTTCAATTGAGCCATCAAGCTTTCCGGGGTAAACATGATAGTATTAGTCGGCCCAGTAACTTTTTTTTTTTGTTTTTTCAAGAAGAGAAGAAAGAAAAGGGAGAAAGGGAGGGCCGGTGGGGGAGGGAACTCCTAGAATACGCTTTCCGACTTCCATAGATCATGAGTCGACGGCTGGCAAGGGGTCACTCACTCTATCCGCGGCTACATGCTCGCAGGTATTCGGGACGCCAGTTCTTCAGCTATCCATTCTTGATGTATGTGTCAGCTCGGTCTTTGTACAACCCCACGGCAAAACTTCTCAATCCCCGTGCGGGGTCGGTCTGGGATGATGAGCGAGCATCTTAAAATCAGATGAGGCAATACATAATAACTGGATCCTGGGCGTTGGCTCCAGGTGCTCTTGAAGACACGAAGTCAACGTGATAACGGCAAAACTCGATTACAACTCTCCAAGAATGACTTTCACACCTGACTTTGACGCCATTGTGGTGGGTGCCGGCTTCGGCGGTATCTACATGACCAAGAAGCTTGTGGACCAGGGGCTCTCGGTAAAGGTAATCGAGGCGGCGCCAGATGTCGGGGGAACGTGGTATTGGAATCGATATCCAGGCGCGATGTCAGAGTAAGAACCCGATGAGACGTGGTCGAGTCGTTGGGGTTGAGGTACTAAAATGTTGATTCATATAGCACGCGCTCCTTTCTCTACCGCTACTCTTGGGACCTCGAGGACCTCTGCCAGTACCCCTGGGATCGAGAATATTTAAACCAACCGCAGGTGTTGGTTTACCTCCAGCATGTCGTTGACCGCCATCACCTTCGACAATATATGCAATTCAACACGGAGATGAAAGCCGCATCGTGGAACAGCGAACGGAACGCCTGGATGGTCGATGTCTCCCCCGATCAAAAGCTGACCTCCCGCTATCTCGTGACCGCGGTGGGACTCTTATCCAGGCAAAACTATCCCGATATTCCCGGAATCCGCTCCTTCCAAGGCGAAATGTACCATACTGGTAGCTGGCCCGCTTCTCACGACTTCCGCGACAAGCGGGTTGGAGTCATCGGAAACGGATCAACCGGCGTTCAACTGGTGACCGCGCTGGCAAGCGAGGCAAAGCATCTGATATCCTTCCAGAGAAATCCGCAGTACGTGGTGCCGGCTGGGAACCGGGAGGTACCCCCGGAGGCGCGTCAACGCCTCAATCAATGCTGGGAGCAGACCTGGAGCGAGGCCAAGCACAGCATGTTTGGGTTTGGATTTCGAGAGAGTGCCATTCCAACCTTCAGTGTGAGTGAAGAAGAGCGAGAGAGGATCTTCGAGGAAGCCTGGGAGTATGGAAGCGGCTTCTACTTCATGTTCGGCACATTCTGCGACATCTCCTACAACGAAGACGCCAACCGAGCGGCTGCCGACTTTATTCGGCGGAAGATTCAGCAGACAGTGAAAGATCCTATCAAAGCGCAGAAACTGATGCCGACGGGATGGTTCGCCCGCCGGCCACTGTGTGACACTGGCTACTATGAAAAATTCAACCAGCCCAACGTGGATATTGTCAATGTCAATTCCAACCCTATCACTGAGGTCACCGAGAACAGTGTTCGCACCGCTGATGGCACCGCGTACGAAGTGGACGTCATTATCCTCGCGACAGGGTTTGATGCCGTTGACGGCAGCTACAAACGGATCCCCATCCACGGGTCCTCGGGTCAGACGCTGAGGGGAAATTGGAAAGATGAGCCCAAATCGTACCTGGGTATATCCGCGCCCGGTTTCCCCAACCTCTTGATGATCCTGGGACCTAAGGGACCGTTCACCAACTTACCGCCGCTCATCGAAGCTCAGGTCGAGTTTATCGCGGGCCTAATCGCCCAAGCGAACCAGGCGGCTTCCTGCAAACCACGGATTGAGGCGGACACCGATGCCATGATGCAATGGTGTCAAACATGCGATGAGCTTAGCGCGGGGAGTCTGTTCCGGAAGACCGACTCGTGGATCTTTGGAGCCAATGTGCTCGGCAAGAAGAAGGCGGTATTGTTCTATTTTGGCGGATTGGCGAATTATCGAAAGGTATTGGAGGGGACCGTCCAGGGTGGATACATGGGGTTTAAGCCATTCTAATTTTGAAGATTGTATTTACCCGTTGAGATTGTCAAGCAGAGTATAAGGAATGGCATGTTGCCGCGGGCACATGGAGGAAATTCGTCTACTGATAACTACCAGGTAATTAAATCTGCACGAATTAAACATATAACCGCGGTTGGAAGGAAGTCGGTGCAACAGTATCTCACATCTTCCAACAATGTCAAGTCAACGGTGCAGAAATGACAAGTAGACATAGTATGACAACCAATCTAAATTCAGACAAGACCGTTTTAAAGCGTAGAATATCTCCAACAGGCCAGCTAGCACAAAACACCACAATGTATAGACCTACGCGATATACCTCATGCACACTGTGTCGCTGTGAAAAGGCCTGGTGTGATGCCAGTCTAACCGGATTCCCGTGTACAATGTGTCGTCTTTCCAAGAATGAGTGTCGTCCAATGCAGGAAAAGTCTTTGAAGTCCGTTTCTGAGTTAATGCGCTTGTGTCTGGCTATTCATTGACAATGCGTTAGGAACAGTACGTCGCACACTGTCAAGGGTGCGAGTTGGGGGCAGCCAACTCCTGCAACCCTAGAGATAGATTCAGGTAGAGTGCCCTAAAGAATACTCTTACGGACAAACCCTTGGCTTACTCAATGTTACTTTTCAAGAATGTTTAACGCAACCAAAGGATGCCCTGGATTTCAGCTTTGTGCCCGGTGCCCGGGCCATGGCACAAACACCCCAAGTCCTCTCAACGGGTCCTCTTGACAACCTTTTGGCAGAAGTCCACAATTTGCTGGGACCGGAAAAGTCTCCCTTCCTTGAAAGACCTGTGTTGCCGTTATTTCTCCAGGATATACCATCAGGACTCCCGGGCGAGGATGTGCAATACCTTGATGCGAAGGGGGTCTTTGATATTCCCAACGCGAAACTCTGCCAGGAACTTTTAACAGTCTTTGTGGAGCATGTCTACCCTTTTCTTCCAGTCTTGGATCTCGAATCCTTTCTTCAAGCCGCAATTCGCAATGATGGGGTAAAGCAAATTGATCTACTACTCTTCCATGTGGTCATGTTCTCCACCACATCTTTTGTCAGGTGGACGCACCTCCAGCAAGCAGGATACCAATCGAGAAAAGACGCACGCAGGCAATTTTTTTTTTTTTTTTTTTTTTTTTTTTTTTTTTTT